CGAAACAAAAAATGGCTTTCTTCATTCCCGATGTTAATCTTGTCGGTAAATTAAAATTTTCGTACAGCTTCTTCCTCGGTGAATTAGCGACGTAGCACACCTTTAAAGGCACTGTTGTACTTGGAGACGTGATCTTCGTCAGTAAATTATCGACGTGGGTTACCAGAAAAAATCTCCAGTAGTACTATTCCGGTTTATTGGTGGAGACATGTTTCTTGTCGGCAATTGGCAGTCTCCTCACCGACGTAGCTTTAATCCACGTCGGTAAATGAATTACCGAGGCCACTTTCAGCGACAACAAGTTTACTGACATGATTCAGGTGGGAAGTTGATTTTACCGACATGATTTCCTTTCTTTCCGACATGCTTTCTCATAAGTGAAGTCTTGAATTCTAGTAGTGTTAATGAGATTTAAACACTCTCTTTCTTCGAAGTAAATTTCACCCTAAAGTTTCTCTCTAACTCTCTCAACTCTTTCTATTGACACCTAAGATTAGCTAACATAACACATTTAAGGGGTATTTGTTTTAGTGTTTAGAGACAGCTAATAGTTATTGGCTCCTAAATAACTATTTAAAGGGATTTGGGTAAGTTTTCTTATTAGCGGATGTGAATCAGCTAACAATTATTGGGAATCTAAACAGCTGCAAAATGAAACAGCTACCAAAGTTAGATATTTGAGTTAAATGTTGTTTTCAATTTTTTTTTTTCTTTTACTTATGCCATTATAACCCTAACAATATTCCTAAAATCTTTGCAATATGCAACCAATCTACAAAGTATTCCAAATTTTTGAAAAAATTGTGGAAAATTATGGAGAAAGAGTAAGAGAAAGATTAGAGATGAGATTCAAAGGAAACAGAAGAGCATCGAATGCTTTGGGAATTTGTGATGGTGACCTGTGATCGATGACAAACAAATCAACAAAGACTAATGTACTCTGGCAAGGAGAAGCAATTATGGGGGAGAGAGAGAAAAAGGAGGATCAAGGAAGGGAAGATGAAGGATGAGGAATAGATCTGCTAAATGTTAAAAAGGAAAATTAAATACAATCCCACCTAATCCTCTGGGGAAGGTGGGATAAAATTCACAAAGTTCACTTAGGGTAGAATACAAGATGGGATAAACATCATCCTCATTCTTGACTTCCTTGAACATTAGTTACAGTAACATTGTACAAAAAATTTATCCAATCCTCAACTTATTCGACACACTAAATATGCTATTAGAGTATAGGCTAGAAAAATCTGTTATTTATTTTTTTATTATAAAAAAAACAAACTTATTTAACTAACATAAAATATATCCTTAATTGTAATTTAACTCCTTAATAGAAACAATTGTTAGCTTTATTACCAAATACTAATTATAAACATGAACAGTTATCAACTATTAGTTATCGACTATCACTTATCAATTATTGATTATTAATTATTAGTTATCGACTACTAATTCTAAATTTAAACGGCTAATCTAAATGATCCCTTAAATTGATTTTATTATTGGAGTGTTTGGTTGCACCAATAAGAGCAACTATGTCGTTACATTAATTCTAAAACTTTTGTCTGCACACAAAGTGTCAAAACCTCTTTATTGAAAAACCATCGACGACTTATTGAGTTTCTTCGATTTATCCTCCACGTAAAAGTGTCAACACCATAAAAGAAATGTCAACACTCTTGTTCAGCAATATTCAAGCTCATCACAATCCCAATCACGTTGAAATTCAAGAATATCGCAACAACCCAAGATAAAAATACATTGTACATATGTCCCAACACTCCAACATGATTTGGCATAGATAGAAACAGTACTACCTCTATAAATGTTTTTGTTTGTTGTGTGGGTCGTGTATGCAGGCGGGTGGAGGGACGGAGTCCGAGGGGGACCCCCCTAGACTTTTGGAAAAAAATTAAATAGGTCCAATACTTTAAAAGAAAATCAAATGTACCCTTTTTTTGATAAAAATAAAATGGTGTGTTTTAATTTTTATTTTTTTATAGATCTTACGATAAATTATTAACCACTTGACAAGTACAATAATTTAATAAAATATTTTTATTTATTTGATATGTTTGTCATATAATATATGTATAATTAATGATTATTTGCATTAAATAAAAAAATAAAATTAACTTGAAATTAGTATTATCAATTCTTTAGAACATTTAGCTTTATTATCTAGATTATATTGTGTAATATTTTGTGATAAAAGTTGTGATTAACATTGAAATTTAAATATACATAAATTTTAATAAGTTTTTTTTATATTTAATTTTTTTTAAATTATAAAATTTTTTATATATTTAAGTTTTAATCTTATTTATAAATTATAAGTGAAGAAATTCATTTTTAGCATATGTATTTCAAATAGCTCTTTGCACCCCTATATTATGTTCTGGCTCCGTCCTTGGGCGGATGTGTAGCCTTGCAAGTAATTGTTGTACTTTGACGTGAACAATGCTATGGGAATCCTCCTAGCTACTCTTTTCCAATGCTCTTCACTGAATTCGTTTTCAATTTTATGTGCATCCGTATCTTTGTAAATTTCCTTTCGTCTCTACATTTCCCTCGGTTCAATGGGCGTTACGATGCTTCGGCCAAAAAAATGGGTATAATGACGAAATGATTCAATTTCTTCGGTTATTGGAGTACCCTGCATCTGTCGTATGGAATTGAAATTCATTCATCACATATTGCTTAATTATTACTGCTTTCTGTGTGGGATATAGAGGGACTGGATACAATTTTTGGAAGCTAGTCTACAGCTTTTCTTTTTGGGTTTTAGTATTTTGCAGCTTTTAAATAGAAGATTCTTGTTGTTTTGTAGTTAAAATTATACTAAATTTTAAAATATGAACCATTAAATAAAGAATAATTGTATTGAACAATGCAATTCAAATTGTGTAACACTTTTTTGTTATGTTTTGTAGTTTAGTTTTTGCTATATTCTAAAATAGGAACTATGAGAGATAATTGTATCAAACAATACAATTTAAACTTCATAACACTTTTTTGTTCAGATAACATGAATGTAAATTAAAGTGGATTAAATGTCTTATACTGGGGTAACTATGATTTTATTTTAGGGGACCAATTGCAATGCTGTAAAAGAAGAAATCAGACAATCAAGCTGCATATTTAACTTGGGAATGTTGGAGAAAGACAAATTTTGCTAGAATTATGACATGTAAAAACGAGATAAAGACCTGCATCTATAAAAATTGAAATCATGTCTTGAATATATAGAAATTACTTAAAATGTATATCATTACTCGTATTTAAATGTTAGTCTCAAACAAAATTATTTTTATAAAATGTCAATATATATCAACCAACAAAACAAGGATATTTAAAAAAAAATTATAAGTTAATTGTTTGATTTTGCAAAAATTTGAGCCACTATGACCTCAAATTAAAATTATTAAGTTAATGAATATTAATTAAGTCAATTTCTTATTAATAAGATGTTCTCACAAATTAACATACTAAATTCTAGTCATGTATATGAAGAAGATATTGTAGGAGTTTGTTGGAAAAATGCTCTTAGATCATTTTCAATGAAATTAATCACATCCTTTACACCCAAAAAAATAAAAAAAAATAAAAAATAAAAAGGAAATGCTATACCAAATCTAGTAATTTGTATGGATCTCCAATAATCAATTAGCATTATAATAGGCATGTTATGTACTCAAAGGTATTTTAAATTGAAAACTACATTATGGGTAAATAGTGATTTTATACATAAAAGAAAAATGAAAAGTAAAGCATAAAATACAAAGAAATTTTAATTTTGAAAAGGATTCTGGTAGAGATACTATACTAACTATTAGAGCAATATTTAAATAAAATAAAAAGAAAGTTAATAGATTAATATTATCTAATAATTTCCCAAATAATTAGACAAGGATACCACATCCGGTTCTCTTTCCACCTTTCCCTTTTCATAACTCACATAACTTATGAAACAGTTGTTTTTCTTTTGTTACATCTCAAATTTTCAGCAACCATCCATAGAAAAATTCATCAAATCCTCCATCTCAAAGACAAAACGGATAACTTATTCCAGCAAAAGAGAATTTATTCAAGGCATAAATGATAAAGGGATGTAAATTAATCGATAATTCAATAAATTTTTAAATATCGGATGATCCATTTCAAATACCGGGTTGTTTGTACACAAAAAAAAAAAAAAATGATAAAGGGATGTTTGTGACCCAGCAACACAGTCATGCCAATACAAGCAAGTTTACAATACATAATTAGGAACTAGAGTTTGGAATGAATAATAACAGCAACACAACATATCAGATATTACCAAGAAACAAATGATATATCAGATCCAGAAATCACTTCTTCTTGGCGATGAAAAGGCCCCACCTCTGCTCGCCAGATGAACTCCTAACCAGCTTTGCCTTCCATCCATCGACTATGTCATTATAGTCTTCCTGAATATTAGAAAAGAGAATCAGTATATCAATCTAAAGATATATTAAAGTAAAATCGAAAAAACCTTTTTATGTTCACATTATGTGTTCACACTTATTCACACTTATAAATTATATAACTTTATCTTTTGAACCCTTGAACTGGATCAAAATTGGATTGGAACCAGTTTAAATACTTCTTCTCACACTATATCAAATTTAAAAATAGAGGTAAAATTATTGTTATACCCTTAATAATTAATGTCATATCTTTTTAATATAATAATACCTATTATACCATTACATTATATTTTTTCTTAAATTCAATCAATCAATTTAATTTAATTCAATTCAATTATATTACCCATTTTCCTAAATTTTTATTAAAAAAATTCATTAACTTATATTTATGTATCCGTGTAATTGAATTGAAAAAAAAGTTGTGTTTTTCTTATTTATTTCCCTTTTTATTTTTATTAGGTTAAATGCTAAATTTGGTCCCTCAACTTTAAGAAATGCACATTTTTTATCCCTCAACAAATTTTTGCACTTTTTTGATCCCTTAACTACAAGAAATGCACTCTGTTAGTCCTTCTGTTAATTTGAGTCGTTAAGTTCGCTTACGTGGCATTTTTTATATTTTTTTTGATGATGTGGAGAGCAAAGTGATGATATGGACAAACATTTTGACATTTCATATTACCGTGTGCCAAATCCATTTAAATGGGTCCCACTTCACTAATAAAAAAAGATATCTTTTGATGACATGACATATTAAGTGATTTTTTTTATTTTTTTTAATAATATAACAAATTAAATTAAATATTTATC